TACTTAACCATATTTTGGGGACAAATTTGTACCCAAAAGTGAGCAAAGCCTGACAAAATCGACAAAAACCTCAATTTGTGGATGTCCTCATTTGTAACACTGTTATAAAAATAAAGTAAACAAAGTTTTTATTTTTTACTTTTGAAATTGTAAAAATGCAGAAAGTTTTCTGTGAGGGGTAGGGCTGGGTTTAGGTTAAAAAGTGTATAACTATCAGTATATAAAAACAATAGAAGTCTATGCAATGTCCCCATTTAGATAGCTAAGTAAACGTGTGTGTGTGTGTGTGTGTGTGTGTTTGTTTTGACTGGCTATTTCACCAACAATAATGTGAGTATACCAACATTTTAAGGCATTTCTGTTTTAATGGCAATTATATTGCCAAGGTGTGCGTAGAGGGTTGATATATACTAAATGTATTTAAACTACTGTTTTTCATACAAATACTATAGAAACCTTATAGTTACTTTTTTTTTTTACCATGGTTGAGGTGCTATATGTGTGGTTTTAACTGTTTATCATGATCTAAATATATGCTACTATGGAAAACAAATGGTTAATTCAAGTTAAAAAAAAAAAAGAAAAACCTCAAACAGTCAGAATAATTAAATTTCACCATATGAAAATGAGGTTGTAACAATTTTTACAGATGTTACTGTTTTTGATAATAAACATTTAAATTTGCATCCTAACTCAAGCTACTACTACTGTCAACTCAAGCCACTGTCAAATGTGCATTTCTAAGAAACAACAAATTTTATATTATTGATATTGCAGCCTGCACTGCAAACTGTGCATCATCAAAGTCAGGCAACACAATCCTGTTTCATGATTTGAAACAATATCACTCATTTGAACATGCAGTAACTAAGAAATTAATTTTTCTATTAAGATATTTATTTTGTTAAGGAAAAATGACTGGAAAAGTGTAAAGAATTCAAAAACATGAAGTGTTTGTCATGTTCTGACCATAAAGAGTAGTTTAAAACCACAATTAACAGTCTGGTTTCTACAACTTTCACTCGGACCCTGCTAGGCATGGGACGATAACCGGTTTCAAGGTATACCGCGGTTTGGAAAAGTCACGGTTTCAAAACCACTAAAATTTCCCATTATACCGTTCCTGCGGTATGCGCAGTTTTTTTACGTGTCTTCAAAGACGGAAAGTGCAGGACTCCCTCAGTTGTGTGCAGCAAAGAGCATAACGAGTCACACGACCCCTCCCCCTCCGGTTGGTGCGAGCGGAGTCACCTGTGTGTAGCATAGAGGTCTGCAAGCCCGAGTCCATTCGGGCCGGGCTCGGGCCATTTTTTGTTTTTACAGATCGGGCTCGGGTTGGACTCGGGCTAATTTAG